GTAGTCAGTATAACAAACCAATAAGTTGGAACAGGTAGTTAATGAAGAGCAATCAGGACAAGTTGAGGTCAAGAATCCAGAAGATGTATCTAAACACATTTTCTTTTAACAGGGTTTGCATGTCTCATGCATACACATGGTATTACACTATCTCACCATTCGTTTTTTTTAAATTTTCAAGAAATTTAACACTGAATAATGGTCGCTGGCCACCGAGCACAGGGAAGATGGGCGGCTGTGGGCTCTTATTTAGCATTAAAACATAGAAAACTCTTTTACACTAAATGGAAATGTTGCCAGGGGACCCAGACACTATAACCACTTCAATAAGATGAACCAGTTACAGCGCCTACAGTGTCACCGCGAGTACAAAACAAGCAAACTCTCTCTCTCTCTCTCTCTCTCTCTACATACATATATATATATATATATATATATATATATATATATATGTACACTGCTCTAAAAAATTAAGGGAACACTTATACAACACAATGTAACTCCAAGTCAATCACACTTCTGTGAAATCAAACTGTCCACTTAGGAAGCAACACTGAGTGACAATCAATTTCACATGCTGTTGTGCAAATGGGATAGACAACAGGTGGAAATTATAGGCAATTAGCGAGACACCCCCAATAAAGGAGTGGTTCTGCAGGTGGTTACCACAGACAACTTCTCAGTTCCTATGCTTCCTGGCTGATGTTTTGGTCACTTTTGAATGCTGGTGGTGCTTTCACTCTAGTGGTAGCATGAGACGGAGTCTACAGCCCACACAAGTGGCTCAGGTAGTGCAGCTCATCCAGGAAGGCACATCAATGCGAACTGTGGCAAGAAGGTTTGCTGTGTCTGTCAGCGTAGTATCCAGAGCATGGAGGCGCTACCAGGAGACAGGCCAGTACATCAGGAGATGAGGAGGAGGGCAACAACCCAGCAGCAGGACCGCTACCTCCACATTTGTGCAAGGAGGAACAGGAGGAGCACTGCCAGAGCTCTGCAAAATGACCTCCAGCAGGCCACAAATGTGTATGTGTCTGCTCAAACGGTCAGAAACAGACTACATGAGGGTGGTATGAGGGCCCGACGTCCACAGGTGGGGGTTGTGCTTACAGCCCAACACCATGCAGGACATTTGGCATTTGCCAGAGAACACCAAGATTGGCAAATTTGCCACTGGCACCCTGTGCTCTTCACAGATGAAAGCAGGTTCACACTGAGCACGTGACAGACGTGACAGAGTCTGGAGACACCGTGGAGAACTTTCTGCTGCCTGCAACATCCTCCAGCATGACCGGTTTGGCAGTCGGTCAGTAATAGTGTAGGGTGGCATTTCTTTAGGGGGCCGCACAGCCCTCCATGTGCTCACCAGAGGTAACCTGACTGCCATTAGGTACCAAGATGAGATCCTCAGACCCCTGGTGAGACCATATGCTGGTGCGGTTGGCCCTGGGTTCCTCCTAATGCAAGACAATGCTAGACCTCATGTGGCTGGAGTGTGTCAGCAGTTCCTGCAAGATGAAGGCATTGATGCTATGGACTGGCCCGTCCGTTCCCCAGACCTGAATCCAATTGAGCACATCTGGGGCATCATGTCTCGCTCCATCCACCAACGTCACGTTGCACCACAGACTGTCCAGGAGTTGGCAGATGCTTTAGTCCAGGTCTGGGAGGAGATCCCTCAGGAGACCATCCACCACCTCATCAAGAGCATGCACAGGCATTGTAGGGAGGTCATACAGGCACGTGGAGGCCACACACACTACTGAGCCTCATTTTGACTTGTTTTAAGGACATTACATTAAAGTTGGATCAGCCTGTAGTGTGTTTTTCCACTTTAATTTTGAGTGTGACTCCAAATCCAGACCTCCATGGGTTGAAAAATTTGATTTCCATTTTTTAATTTTTGTGTGATTTTGTTGTCAGCACATTCAACTATGTAAAAAACAAAGTATTTCAGAAGAATATTTAATTCATTCAGATCTAGGATGTGTTATTTTTGTGTTCCCTTTATTTTTTGAGCAATATATATATATATATATATATATATATATATATATATATATATATATATATATATATATACATATATATATATATTTGTTTGTGTGTCTGTGAATTTGTGTCTGTGTGCATATGTGTGAGTGTGTGCTGTGGGGGTACTGCTAAATGAGTTAAAAGAGGCCCATTGGTTTCAGATGGCAGCCCCGATTTCACTGTTTGCTGTCCAAGGTGCTACAGCCTGACCTTAGCATATACAATGCAAATATGCCATTGCTGTCCATTCAGAGTTCTTCATATGATCCGAGCTCTTATAAATAAAAGGTAAATATTAAGAGTTTATACACAATGGACACATATGCAAAACATTAGCATATGAACAAATTAGCCCTACTAGTATGTAATATCTCTCAATTTTTGTCAAATAGGGTTTGATATATTCCAGCCCTTCAAAAGAAATATACAGCACAGGAATACTAAGCAGGGACATTCACTAAATTGTCAGATTTTCTTTTTAAATTCGTTATTTAGTCGATTAACATTACAAAGGGCTTCACAGCCTCACATTTTACAAATACAAGAACAAGTAAAAATTAAAACATGATAAACCATTAAGCTAGAATTCTTTGTGATACATGTCAACAGGTACTCCTGTGTTTAGATAATCTCTGCTTTTGGGTAAACATGTAGTCACCCCCTTTGAGTGACTTTTCTCCCCTTCTCTCTTAGATCAAACTAGACAGTCCTCCCAAGGCCCCCACACTTTTTGATACTTGTTCATTGAATTACAAACTATCACTGTGAGCTTATCCTTCAAAAACGGTTGTCCTCTATTTTAACTTTTATCTCTAGTAAAGTTGGTGTCCATCCTTCAGTCATCACACTGTTAAAGCTCTCTGGGCTGCCAGCACTATCATATTGATTAATTTTTGTGAATGTGGGGGAACCCCTCAATGGGTTCAGACAGGAAGTATGCCCAGGAATCTAGGTTAAATTGTTGGAGAAATAGTCAGTCTAGTAACGACTGAACCATTTCCCAAAACTTCATCCGTGGGCATCCCCACCACATATGCAGGTATGTCCCTTGTGTCCAACATCCCCTCCAGCATTCATCTGTTGGTATTCTATACACTTTCATTGGTGTTGTATAAAACCACATGATGACTTTAAATATTTGCTCTAGTAGGTTCACACATTGACACCTTTCTAGCATATGTCTTCCGACCCTCCCTCTTCTAGCTCCTCTCCTAGATCTTTTTCCCACTGCTTTACATAGTTTAGGTTGCTCCAAATCTTTAAAGTGCAACAAAGGGTCAAGTAAATCTCTGAGATAAGGTCCTTGCGCCCTCCTGTGGATTCACATAGTCTCTCAAAGAAGGTCAGGCCTCTAATGACCGCTAGGCAGACCTCTTACCTTCTTGCTAGGTCATGGACCTGCATGTATCTAAAAAATCTTTTTGGTGAAGACAAGAGTCCCTCTCTAGATCTATTTAAAATTCCTGGTATAAATAAAAATCTTTGTATCTTTGTAGATCCACCGTCATCCCTGTCGAAAAACCTCTATTTCTCAAAATGGGAGTAATGGGTGTGGGGAAGGATATTAGCCCATACTTCACTGCTACTCTACCTCAAAGCCCAGAGTGTGTATGACTGCTGTGCATTGGGTTCTCCAAAGGTCCCTATATTGCTTAGGTAAGTATGTAAAATTCTGGTAAGTCCAATACCATTACCCCTACCTCCAAGTCTGCCTATCTTCGAGTCCCAGCAGGGACGTATCACAACACCACCTTGGTAATTTGTGCAGCCACATAGTGCAAATATAATTGTGGCAGACCCAGTCTTCCTGCCTGCCTAGGTCAGTACAATAGTTTATAGTTTCCTGGAGATCCTATGTCTCCCCACCCCACATAAATGAGTCAACTGCAAGTTGTAGACCATCCAGGTCCTGCCGGGAATGGAAAGTCCTGGAATCAGAACAGCAGGACATTCTCTTTTACAATTTGTCTTCTGCCCAGCCATGATATGGGCTTAGCATACTAATTCTCCAGGTCATGCTTAAGATTGCACATCAGTGGTCTGTAAATTTCCAGGCCCATACTCATTAGGTCTGCTGTAAGGCGCACACCCAAATATATAAATGAAGTTGTTTGTAGGCAAATACCAGATCACTTCTGATGCTGTGCAGTGTCCTATCCCATCATATTAAGTAGAATAGCAATAGGTTTTTTTAAAAGTTTATCAAATAACCCGATATGGCTTTAAACCGTGACAGTAGGTCAAATAATGATGGGAGACTAACCACTGCTAATGTGAGGGTCAAAAGAATATTGTCTGCAGGGCTGTTTTGTAATCCCAGTCCTGACCTGTCAATCCTCCCTGCCAACTCCCTCCGAATGAGGAATGCTGGACCACCAAAATCTCTGGTCGGTTTTCCCGTTCAATTAAATAGAGAGAGGATCCATAGGAGGTAGTCTCTAAGAAAGCTTTTCATATAGTCTGGTTCCATTTAGAAAATGTTCCCACCTCCACACACTCCCTGGGTAGGTGTTGCAAAGTAGGGGTCCTAAGGTGGAATAATGTCTAGGGCTCTAAAGAATCTTCTCATGTCTGAGGTGGGTTGTAGTGTGATATTTTTTTCCTCCACAGAATGACAACATTTTCAAGTAGTGACTGCATGCAAATATTATATTGTGGCAATGTATAAAATCTGCAAGGGATTTCCACAGGTGACATTTCTTTAGGGTATCAGTTCACAGGTCCTGGAATACTTGTAGAGTTATTTCTTTGTAGCGGATGATGGTGCTGTGACTTATTTTCATTATAGCTTCTTTGGTATTTAAGCAGTGAAATCAGACAATTATGTTCCTTAGTTACTCCCCTTCTGACCTTCAGACTTATTGTGCTCTGTGTGTCCTGTCTATGACCCACATATGGTCCGGAATGTCTGGAACTAAGGGCCAGATCTGCTCCAAAATCAGGGAGTTTTACTGGTCCTCACCTACCTTCCCAGGAAAGCTCCTGATGCACAAAGTGTTTCTTCTTGAGTGATTGGAGAGATCTTCTAAGGTGTTTTCCACTTCATCAGTGTAAGTCTGTAGGGCTTTAGAGTAATTCACCACATTGTTGTGGTTCTCCACCATGCTTTCCACTCTGGTTTCCAGTCCTGCAGTTCTCTGCCCCAGGGCCCGTATCTCCTGCCTTATCTCCTGTGATAGGTGGGTTTGCAGTTCCCCTTTCAGAGTCAGTATGCGATCTGTATCTGTAGGGGAAAGAACAGAGCAAACAGAGCACCCAGCCTCCACCTCTCCAGAGCTCATGGGGATGTCCCGCTCCTCATTTTAAGTGCCATCTTGGCTCACCTCATGGGTCCTCCACATCATGTCAAAGAGATAGTCCACTGATCCATCACTTTCCTTTTCTTTCCTCTTTTGAGAGGTGCTCATGTTGAACTTACTGTGCCTTTTCACACCCTCCAGGTCTGGTAAGTTACTCTTCTTTGGGTTAGTTGTGCTTTTTACTGGGTGCCCAAAGTGGAACTACTCAGCTATGCTGCCATCCATCTCAGCTTCCACACTGCACCCCCTATTTGTCAGAATTTTAAAGTGAATTTAAAATTGCCTGTATTGTCAAATGCAAAACATAACTGAGATGTTTTACAATTTAACTATTATGGCTTAAAACTTTAAATTTGCTCTGAATCCATTGAAATGTCATTTATAATTGGAATTGCTTTTTAGTTCTCAATGAGTAAATTATTTCTATTTTCAGTATTCTAAAAAGGACATTTTACATGATTAAAGCATTTTTTAGTCACAAACAAATGATTAGTTGCTGGATTAACTATGGTTTGTGCTGGACTGCAAAAAATGAAATGTTTAAATGAAATAAATGTGCATGAAACAAAAACACGTTCATTTTATTCACCTTGTGTGTGGTCTTATTTATAAGCTAGAGATTTGTGTTTCACATTTTGGAGATAATTTTGAATGCAATCTGCCCTGTACAGGTTATCATTTTTATTTTCACAGGTTCAGAATCCAGTAGCTTTGTGCTCTCCGAAGGTGGCAAAATCTAGCCAGTGTATGTCACAATCACAAATGCCAACCAACAGTAATTACGCATGCAGCGTATAGGCATTTCTACCTATAAGAAAATGTACGCTTCCTTTATCATGTTGCATAACCGTATCCCATCTCTGTAGATTAAAACCTTTTGTTCCTCTAAGTCAAACATGTAAGTTGAACTCATGTGTTTATTTTGTTAATCCATTTTATAGTTTTGTGGAAAAAATACTCTCTTTATAAATAATAATAACAATAATAATGTCCCACTATACCCCTACCCATCTTTTCTGTTTCCTCATTCCTCACACTTTCTACCAAGCCTATATCCATGTTCTCCTTCTTGCTTCCATTCTACTGAATCCTAGTTACATAATTGCAACAAGCTCCCTCCACAGATCCAATGAATCACTTCTCACTTATTCTTTCGTAACGTTTAGAAGATACAAACATCATACTTAAAAGCTACTCTTGATACGTCATAATTCAATTCCCATAATGCCTCCAATCAGTCAACATGTTCTAATCTCACACCCTTCCCAATATTCCTTCCCCCTCAGCTATCACTCCACCAGTTCTGATTATCGTAAGCACACACTATTTTTATGTACTATGTAACTATAGATAGATAGATAGATAGATAGATATTGTACTCAATCACATCACTGAATAAATACCAAACTTAGCCTACAATTTAATATCTCTGATCGATTCTTGCTCATTCCAATTTAGGTCTTATTTCAATGGTTGTTTCAATCATTTACTGACCATCTATTGCTAAGGCTATTACTGACCATCCATGGCTAAGACCAGTACTGACCATTCAAGGTCTAAGACCATTAATGACCATCCATTGTTAAAATGGCTGTTGATTACCAGATGTTTCCAGACTACAACACGTACAGTTTACAACTGATAATTTGCAGCTATCAAAAGTTTTAACTTCTCTAACAGAGATTATTAGGACATAATGAACATTACATAATTCCTGGATTCCATCCATTCAGCAAACATTACCAAATGTTGCTATATGACTAAAAATGATGCCTGCCTCTTCTATGTGTAAAGTTACATTAACATTGCAACAGCAAATTCTTAATACATCATACACTGAAACTTGTTTATTCTGTATTTAAGTACTATAGCCTATTTATGACCACAGTATGTAGTTTACAGTAAATGCCTGTGAAATTTGGCAAGTCAGGTATATGGATTAACAATGGTTAATTATTATTATTATTATTATTGCGATTTATATAGCGCCAACAGATTCCGTAGCGCTTTACAATATTATTAGAGGGGGATTTGACTATCAATAAGACAATTACAAGAAAACTCACAGCAACGAAGGGTTGAAGAGGGCCCTGCTAGAACAAGCTTACAGTCTATAGGAAGTGGGGTATAAAACACATTAGGACAGGGAATAGAAGTCAAAATAGGTGGGAGTGAAGCAGAGCTGGAGGAGAGAGTAGAGTGCTGCCCTTTAGAAGAGAGCAAGAGACAGGTATGTGAGGTAGAGGTTAGTCTGGGAGGCCATAGGCTTTCCTAAAGCAATGAGTTTTAAGGCACTTCTTAAATGATTGAAGACTAGGGGAGAGTCTGATGGCGGTAGGCAGGCTATTCCATAGGACGGGAGCCGCCTGTGAAAAGTCCTGCAAGCGCGAGTTGGCCGTACGCGTACGAGCAGCAGACAGAAGGTGGTCACAGGCAGAGCGGAGAGAAGGGGCATACCTATAGATCTGTGAGGAGATATAAGAGGGGCTAAGATTATTTAGTGTTTTATAGGTATGGGTTAGCACTTTGAATTGACTCCTATAGGATACAGGAAGCCAATGTAAGGACTGACAGAGAGGAAAATCTGTCTAGCGGCAGCATTCATTACAGACTGTAGCGGGGAAATACGACTATTGGGAAGACCAATTAGGAGAGAGTTACAATAGTCCATGCGAGAGATTACTAGAGCATGGGCAAGCTCTTTGGTAACATCTTGTGTAAGAAAGGGGCGGATGCGGGCAATGTTTTTGAGGTGGAATTGGTATGATTTTACAACAGACCGGATGTGAGGGTCAAAGGTGAGGCCAGAATCAAAAGTAACACCAAGACAACGTGCTTGTAAGGATGGGCTGATATGGGTACCACCAATCTGAAGGGAGAGTGAGAGAGGAGGATTAATATTAGGAGGAGGAAAGACAAGAAGTTCTGTTTTGGAAAGATTCAGTTTCAGAAAGCGGGAGGACATCCAATCAGAGATAGAAGAAAGGCAAGAGCTGACACGTTGCAGGACATCAGGGGAGAGGTCTGTGGAGGAGAGATATATCTGGGTGTCATCAGTGTACAGGTGGTATTTGAATCCAAAAGAGGTAATAAGCTTGCCAAGAGAGGCAGTGTAAAGAGAAAAAAGAAGGGGACCAAGGACAGAGCCTTGAGGGACTCCAACTGAGACAGGACAAATGGTGGAGGTATCATTAGAAAAGGAGACGCTAAATGAGCGTTGGGAGAGATAGGAGGAAAACCATGGTGAGACGGGACAGGATCAAGCGGGCAAGTGGTGGGGCGAGAGGAAAGGATAAGTGCAGCCACCTCTTGTTCAGTAGCCTGGGAGAAGGTTGGAAGGGTTAGAGAGGCATGATCCAGGGGAGGTTGAAAAGGTGAGGGGCAAGGTGATGAGAATTCTTTCCTTATCTGTTCAATCTTGTCAGTAAAGTACCAAGCAAGACTATCAGCTGTGAGGTTTGTAACGGATCACCTTGCACCCCGACTGGGTACCTCCATTGAAGGATGCTCCTAGCGCTTCCTGAGGACTCCAGGAACTCTAGCCGACACCACAACCACTGAACCGGAGAAGCATACGAATGCTCTCAAGCATAGGAATGCTGTAAACAGCTGAACAGGAAAAACATACAATCAGCTTACACTCCTGGCAATCAGCATACAATCCAATTCCCCCAATAACGAGACAACACTTCATTTTGAGGTCAAGCAGAACTGACTGTACTGGCACATACAGCCTCTTTTATTCACATTCTACAAACATAGTACTGCCCACAGGGTTTTGAAATACAGCCAATCAATCCATACAATACACACAGACAAAATCCTCCCCTCTGCCTGTGATATGATTACTGAACACAATGGTTAATATAATTATCACAGGCAGAAAATTCAGTATTATAAAACATATCACAGGGACCCCAAAACATGCAATAAACTGATAAAAATATGTATATCCTCGGAACCGGGGGATCTGGGTGAACCATATATCCAAAATTCACCCAGATCCGTTCAGTAGTTTGGAAGATACAGTTTATGCAGATTGCGCAGAACATATACAGGCTATATGAAAAATAATTACTGTATAATGTATCCCCTGTTGTATAGTTTAAAACTACTGCAGGATGTCTTTGTGTACCAAATACCGGCGAGATGGCACCGTGTAGAAAAGTCCAAACAGTTTCTGTGAGTTAAAATGGCCGCCATCCATTGTTCTCACCATGTGCCTCTGATACATGAAATGGTGGCCACCCAGTAACTCAGTATGTCCCCAGATGGTTCTTAAAGGGCCAGCAGCAGCATAATAAAATACAATATGCCCAAATCAGTTCCTAGAAGGGCAATACATCCCAGGGCCATAGTCACAGGGCAGGAGGCTGGCAATCAGTCTTCTCCAATGCCCAGTGGTGAGGCTGGTTCTGCCACAAGGTTAGTTTGGGGGGTGGCCACAGCAGGGCAAAGAAGAGAGTTAAAGGTATCAAAGAGACGCCTGGGATTGTGGGAGCATGAACGAATAAGAGAAGAAAAGTATGACTGTTTGGCAAGGGCAAGGGCTGTGCTGTATGAACGCAATATAAGTTTAAAGTGTAGAAAGTCTGACGTGGTGTGAGACTTCCTCCAGCAGCGTTCAGTAGAACGAGAACATCTTTGCAGGTAGTGTGTTGATTTAGTGTGCCATGGTTGGGGGCGTGTCCTCCATGAGGTGTGTATTTGGAGAGGGGCTGCAGTGTCCAGGCCTGAGGTGAGGGTAGAGTTATATGAGGAGATAGCCAGTGAGGGACATGAGTGAGCAGAAATGGATAATAGTTGGGAATTCATATCAGCTGACAGCTGCTGGAGGTTTATAGAACTCAGATTCCTTCTGAGTTGAGGGGGGTTAGGTTGAGGTCATTGGGGGAGGAGGCTATTGAGAGCAAATGATAGGAAA